TTGCCTACACGACATTTTTTATCTGTTTGTGTTTTTTTATCTTGTTTTGTTTTGGCAAATTTACTATTATATGGACTATGAATTAAACTTTATGCATGCTTTGTATCTGCACCTTCTGCTGCAACCAACAGTCTTGTGTTCTGGACTTGTTGTAGTTGTAGAAGTAGACGTGTACTTACTGCGTGCGCGCAGAGACTCATATGTGGTAGTGTCGACGATTGCTAATGGCGTGGATGATGGCAGGTGCAGGCGGTAGCGGACGGCGACTCCGCGGTGAGGCGAAAGATTGGGGCCAACATGATGGTGGAGGACAAGCAACAGTTGAGCCCCGTGTCGGTTCTGATTTCTCCTTCAATGACGACAATGGCGAGGAAGGGAACGATGCCGGCACCTGCTCCTCCCCGGCCTTCCAGTTCTAGCGCCGCACGTCGCCGAACCTCCAAAGTAAGCTAGCTTCTTCTTGCCATTTCCATCCCTGCATTGCACATCCATCAACCCAAACTTCCATCTTCTATCTCATTGTTACCTGATTTATTTAATTAACTGTATGCATACATACCGGCTAGCAATTTTAGTTTGATTCGATGCTTGTTACAACTCAAGTGTTGTTGTTCAGCATGCTGTAGTATTGTAGTTTCTTTTCAGCTTGATCTGTATGGTGTTTTTGATCTTGCTTTCTTCTTGTTAAATGTAGTAGAAAAATCTGTATATAGTAAGAAAGAATGGCCTCACTTGGTAAATGCACTTAATTAATTTACTATCATGTTACTATGGATTAATTTTGTACTTACATTAGAGTTCAATTACACTTACAGCGGTCAATCAGGTGTAATTCCTTGGTATTTTTTATGTAACTAGTACTATTGTTCAACTATATTTTTAATTTTTAATCAGGTCTATTTGCTAGGTATTATTGATGTATATAATACTAAGTTAATAATTTTATTAGGCTCATTTTTGGTTAATAGTTTGAATCGACTTTGTTTATTTTGTTTTGTTTGATTGAGGAAGTGGCCTCAGAATCTTTTTGATTTTGGAAACTATAGAAAATTTCCGCTTTTTGTTTTTTTCTTATTTGTTTTGACCTCAATTTCTCATGCTCTCATTATTTGTTCATTTGTTATATTCTATATCATTTTCCATGATTTGATCTCAATTTTTGTACGTTAGGTCTGATATGTTGGCTCCAAATGTCCTTCTCCCTCACTATGTATGGATGCTCTCACTTACAAATCTGAGGTACTACTCTACTCCATCATCTCAATTATCCCACTCTTCTTTGCTGACATAGTTTCTCCTATACATTAGGTCTGAGGCTTTTGCAGGTTCTAAAATGTTGGTTTGTGCGTTTGTTGTTGCTTTCCTATATTTATTGGTACTTTAAGGCAATGCAACCTTACTTTAATTTGAATTTCAGTATTGTTCATAAGACTTCCTTTTCAGTCATTGCTTTTATGTTGTCTGTCTTATCTCCAAATCTTTAATGTGTGTGTCAGATCAGTTGAAGTTCTTTCTACCGTGTATGCCATGTAGTGTTGGGTGTTCTGAAATTTGGAGCTTAAATAATATAAGTCCTGCCACATTGTGTGATCACGCTGCCATTTTTTCATCTATATTTAGTTTAACGTATCATGTATAGAAGAAGTGAAATGTAATCCTTGATCAGTTGCTTGCCATTTCGCAGTACTGGTATATGTCAAACTTCACATAGCAATAAGCAAAGAAGGCTACATCCAGGCTAACCCTATAATTCTGGGGCTCTTACAAGTCTTGGGTCCACTATAAATCTTTCATGTGTTTCTTATAACAGGTGTATTATGATTACTTGCTTGACAAGGGTGTGGCTTACTGCTCCAAGATTTGATTGGATCTTTGCTTTCTTTTTATTTACCATGATTGTTAACTACACAATTATCCTACTTACAGTAGAGTTCAACTTCACTTACATGTGTTCATCAGGTGTAATTTATAGGTATTATTTATGTAAGTAGTACTAAGTGCAAAAAATTCATTACTTATTTCTATGATTTTTACTTTTTTTGTATTATCATTCTTTGAAGTTTGTTTGATTAATATAATGACCTCATAATTCTATTGGTTTAGCTTTCCATATTAAAAATTTGTTGTTTGGTATGTTTGTATGAGGCAATTCCCTCAGAATCTTTGTTATTTTGCATTTCATAGAAAATTTTTGGTTTTTTATTTTTTTATTTTTTGTATTTCTTTTTTGTTATTTGGTATGTTTGTTTGAGGCAGTTCCCTTAGAATTTTATGTGATTTTGCAGTTCATAGAAACTTTTTGGTTTTTTATTTTGTTCTTTATTTTTTGCTTTTATTTTAAATATTTTTTGTTTCAACTTTTGTAGTGGTGGTGCGAGAAGGTGTTTGGTGGTCTTTGGTAATCCGAGTGAAATTCAGGTTTGTTTCACTTGAGTTTTTTATTTGGTTATTCGTGTGTTTTCTGACGTATGATTACTTGTGTGAGCATTAGGCTTGAATCACACAAATTTTGTTTTTTGTCTCATTTGTGTGATTTGTCCTCGTAAATTGCTTGAGTGTTCAAATGGGTCAAATCACCCAAGTTCCAAATAGACAGATCACGTCATTTCTGTGTAACCACTATACTAAGGGGGTGTTTGGTTCCACCTCCTAAACTTTAGTCGATGTCTCATCGGATGTTTAACACATGCAAGAAGTATTAAATATAGACTAATTATGAAACTAATTACATAGATTAAGATTAATTTGCAAGATGATTTTTTAAGCCTAATTAGTCTATGATTTGATAATGTGGTGCTATAGTAAATATGTGCTAATGACGAATTAATTAGGTTTAATAAATTTTTCTGACGAATTACCGACGGATTCTGTAATTTGTTTTTTATTAGTGTTCGAACACCCCATGTGACACCCGATGAGGCACCTTTTAAACAAGGGCTTGTTTAGATTCGAAAATTTTGGCAAAATGGCACTTTGTAGACCCCAACCACCGTGTTTTATTTGTAGACCAGTGCTCATGACGTCTAGGCATAGTCTAATTAGGCTTTAAAGATTGCAGGGTCTTTCCGGTGATTTCGAGCAAGCACAAGCAAATAACAAGCTGTTATAGTAGTTTTATTTTTTATTTATATTTAATGCTTCATACATGCGTCCAAATATTCGATGTGACGGAAAATCTTAAAAAATTTTGCAAAATTTTTTCAACTAAACTGGACCCAAGTCCTTGCATCAAACACCCCTAACCACCGTGAATTTATTGCGTAGACCCCTAACCACCGTGAATTTATTGCGTAGACCGATGCTCATGACGTCTAGGCTAGCTGTCCGCTTGTGTCTTTCCCAAAGATTGCAGGGTCTTCCCGGTGATTGTTTTAGAGCGAGCACAACAATTGGCTTATAGTCAAACTAATTAATATTTTTGCTGGCGTTGAAGAGAGAAGAAAAGAGCGAGAAAAAAGCTTGGTTCTCATGTAAGCACCAAGCTGAGCACAGAAGCATAGACACGAGTGGGTTCCACTAGAGATGTATGTGAGGAGGAATAGAAAAAGAATAGAACCATATAATAATAAAGAAATTTTGTAGACAAAAAAAAGAGTAACTATTGTATAGTTTGGCTTTTATAATTTGACTTATAATTAAACACTTTGCTCTATTATTAACCTTGCTCTTAGGCCCTGTTTGTTAGTGAAACTGAAATGGTTTGTAATAATGAAGATTTGTGTAATCTATGAACCTTATTTGTGAGTGTATGAACATTTTTGTAACCGGGAAAGAACAACACAGAGCATAGTAGGAGCATGTAGGGCAGCTCGCCAAGGGCGGCGGTGCGCCCAGGCCAGCGAGGAGCAAATATCGGGATGGATATTTAAAACATAAACATTAGAGGTTCGCTTTAGAGGAATCTAACAACACACCTACCTATGGAATGAAAATGGTCCCGAAGGAAACCATCCGTGAACAGTGCTCCATCCAAACCAGCCGAACGAGAGTTTAATAAGGATGTTGTGGGTTTTTGTCAACAACTTTTGTGGTATTTAGTCACTTAAACCAAACTGGCTGAGACTAAATGGAACCAAACAAGTCCTTATTTCCATATGATATTAGCGTCGAACGGCTCATATTGTCTCCGAGTGATTGCAGTGTCTTCTCTCTTGCGCACTTTGTCTCCGATATTACGTGGAGTTCAACATGGCCATGGACATAAAAAAGGCAGTTGACATAAAAATCAAAGAGACCCACTTATCTCTACACTGTAGCCATATAGTCTAGCACGTGAAGCTGTACAAGAGAAGTCTAATGGTTTTACATAAATCGATAAACCATCAGACATTCATTGTTGTTTTATTGACAGAGAAAACGTGCATATTATCCTTTTCCAACGATGCCTATATAACTAACCATTTGCACATGCAAAAACTATCGATATGGATAGAAAAAACATAAACATTAGACGTTCGTTTTAGTAGCACAACAACACACCTACCTATGGATGAAAATGGTCTGAAACGGTTGGAAAATCTCTCAACCGTTTTCTACTTCTACATTTGAATATGAAAATAAAAGCGAGCCTCTGCTCCGCGTAAAACCGGACAGCAAATCCCTCCAGCACCGAACTTACAGGGGTGATCGAACGCGCCCGTCGCCCTGTGCGAACTAATTGCGGCGCCCATGACTATGGCGACCAGCCCCGCTTTGATATCTCCAAAAATCAATAGGAAATATCCATAGGACCAAGTGCATAACAATTAACATGTGAATAATAAAAACCTGTCATACAACTTTCTTAAAAATCGTATCTTCATTCGATAACGATGCTCCCGAAGCAATATACGATTTTCTCTAAGCGCAATAAGCGCTTGCTTCGTGTTCTTGATTAATACACCCGCCAGCGGCTTTATATAATTTTTGAGGAATTTTAAAGACCTCAAATGAAAAAACTGAGAAAATTATGGATCTCCATCCGCTCGAACGTGTTGACAATTTTCATGCCGCGGGAATTCTCACCCGCTCAAAATAGCAGAAAAAATCCTGTACACCTGGTTGTCGCGGTCGAGGGCGTTGTCGGGGAGCTCCGTGGATCTGAACGGGGGAACGCCCGGAAAGAAGAGCGGCGCGTCGCCGATGTCCCCGAAGCTGGCGTTCACCTCGGCCTGCTTGTGCGGCATGTGCAGGCTGACGGCGAGGCTGCTGGCGGAGGAGGTGTAGAAGATGTACGCCGGCACGCCGAGCTCCGCGGCGACGTCAAGCGCGTCGACGCAGAACATGTCGAGGACGAGCGCGCGCACGGAGGCGGAGGCGAGCACCGAGCGGAGGTAGTCGCGGAGCGGCGCGTTCGCGCGGCGGAGGAGAGCGAAAGGATCACGCGGCGGCTCCTGGCCCTGGCCCTGCTCGGCGGTGGCCGGGGGAACGGTGGTGTCGGGCGGCGGCAGTGGCAGCACGTGGAAGTTGACGGACGGGTTGGCCTCAGCGGCGCGCGCGACTGCGGTTGAGGCGTCCGTCGACGCGGCGGGCGGCTCGACGACGACGATGGTCACGGCGAGGCCGTGCCGCAGGAAGAGCCCGCTCAGCTCCACCATCGGCAGGAGGTGGCCGACTCCGAGGCCTGGGTGCAGAACACCGTGTCTCTCATCACGCTAAACTCCGACTGGCCCACGGGGGTGTCTGCCCTGCAGCAGTCGCATATGGCGGCGTGCACTGGAGATTGAGACTTGTACTATCTACTGTGCCCTTATTTTGTTCTTCCAAACTCCTCCTGAAAAGTACACTATAAAAAAAGAGATTCTATCATATTAAACTTATGATACATATATAGAGTACTAAATGTAGACGAAATCAAAAACTAATTGCACAATTTGCTTTAACTTTACGAGATGAATCTTTTAAGTCTAATTAATCAATGTTTGGACAATAATTCACAAATACAAATAAAATACTATATAAAAAATCTTCACTATATAAAATTTACCTACCCAAACTTTACCAACTAAACACCCCTATATATCTACGAGTTCAGCTACAATAATGGCTCTTGTGCAACGCGTGTGAAAATGACAAAACGGGAAACAAGGAACGTACATCAGCGACCGTGACTGGTTCGATCTTGGATGTGTGCAAGGACTTGCATGTTGCATTGCATCCCGCTATATTCTTCTATTTTTTTGAACAAAGGATACACGTGTGCGCACCTTAGCGTCATATACTACCTACTCCCACCACACGCCTACGATTCTCGTTTGCAAAGGTGAAGCCAAAATGTTACTGCTTCCTTCCTTTCAAATTATAAATTGTTTTTAACTTTCTCTAAGTATCCAGTTTTTGCTTTATATTCACGAGAAAAAGCTGTTTCTCGCGCTGCCCACACTCGGTTCCTTCCTGGCCGTCGGATCCACCGCCGATGCATGTAGAACCGGCCTCTCCTGTTCATCTTCTCCAAGTCCGATAGCCTTAGAAGGGGGCTCCGGGGAGGTAGACAGGCCAGGTGGTTAGGGGCCTTGGCGACGATGGAGACGGCTGGGCAAGGTCGGGGCAGGGGCGCCCATGGCCGAAGCTCACCGCAGAAGAAGAAGATGGGGAAGAAGGAAGCCGCCACAGCTGCGCTAGGCTTTCACTAGAGCTCCGCGGCCACAGTGGGGCGTTGGGCAGCAATGGGGGAGAGGAGGAAGATGAACAGTGCTAAAAAATCGAGCGTTCCTCTCTCACCCCAAACACTCTAACCTCAGGTAGATCGACTCTATATTTAAATATACCATATATGTAGACTAGATGCTTAGCGAAACTACGCAAGGAGAAAACGACTTGCAATTTGAAGAATGAAGAGAGTACCTGCACCAACATCACCGATCAGTGAAAAGCACAGGAACTCCGACCATAACATGTTTAGACAAACGCATGATTCGCAAATGATTTCTAAATTTGTACAGCGGTAATCAGTGGTCTCTAACTCTTTGATCTTTGATATTTGAGCCTGCAATCTTGTATGACGGTATCAATTGAGTTACCAACTCTTTGAGTTTTGATATTTGAATTCCTAGACCTGTATGGCGGTGTCACTGAACTTGCCCTAAATGGCTAAATGCCAACATTGGTCCAAATAGGCTTTATCTTGGCATGTTGACCAAATATATAGTACAAGAAAATATTAATAATATTTATGATACTAATTAGTATCATTAGATATATCATTGAATCTATTTTTATAATAAACTTGTTTAGAGATACAAATATTGCTAATATTTTCTACAAACTAGTTAAACCTAAGAAAGTTTAACCGTTACGAATACCGACTCTTAAAAGGGACATAGGAAAGTAGGTAGCATACCATGTCTATTTGCACCAATGCGTCCGAGACAAGTTAACGGATCTAAATGACACCACAATAGACGTTTAGGGACCCAAATACATACTCCCTCTGTCCTTGATTAAATAGAAATTCCTAGAGTTGTCTTAAGTTAATTTTTAAAACTTTGATCAAATTTAAAAAAAACTGTCAAGATTTATGTCGAGTTCATAAACCCGGGGTCCCTCATGGACCGGCTTCCCAACAATGGCTCGGCCCAGCAGACAACGTTGCGAACGACGCACAACTCCTGGGCCGGCACAAATACCTAAACGACAGGCCAGAAGGACGATCCAATCTCCGACCGGGAGGCCTGGCCGAGGAGGAACGACGCTCGCTTCCGACTCCGGCCCGCCTCTCCGACCGGAAGGCGGAACAGTGCTCGCTTCCGGCTCTGGCCCGCCTCCGGACAGCCTCTCCGACCGGAAGGCCTGGCCAAACACCACTCCCGACTCTGACCCGCATCTCCGACCGGGGATGCGCTGAACCCCTGCTTATAGCTCTTCTCCGACTGGTGCAATCAGAGCCGACTAGGACCAACTGACCGGGGACGCCCGCTCGGTGAGGACCAAGAAACGGACGAAAAAAGTAAGGCAGGGCACACAAGTCAACCGCAATATCGAGGGTCATACCCTGTACATCTGCATGACAGTATCCTACGACCTTCCTAGCATGTCAGAACCCAAGCAGTGTTGTAGGTGCCGATATTTTCTCTACAGTGTTGTGGGCGCCACCAAATCCCATGCCAGACAAACACGGTAAGGCTCCCCTCACATGCCTCTGGCATCAACAGTGTGCGGGCACCGACATTTACCATACCAGGCGAACATGGTAAAACCTCCTACATGCCTCTGGGCATCAACAGTATGGCAGACACCGACGTCTGCCATACCAGAAGAAGACGACGCAACCTCCCACATGCATCTGACCTTAATAGTGTTATGGGCGCCCACAATCATCTTGTACCCATCGGCGTGGGCAACAAGACTTAGCATACGTACACTCTCCCTCTCTCACTTGTAAGGCCATCCCTTCATCTATAAAAGAGGATACGCTCTCTCCCAAAATGGGAAATCGATCAGTTCACTCACACTCCACAACATAACCACTGGGTTCAAACCTCGAGCACGCGCTCAAACACTTAGCACATAGCGGAGCTCCTGTCGCTCTCGGCCCTTCAGACCAGAGTCCGACCGGACCACTTATACCCCCTGTCTTTCTCCTTCTCGTTTCTAACCCTACTGCCAACTTCGAGCACCTAGGCTCAGGAATAAAGTCACCGACCAACTCAAACTAGACGTAGGGCACGTTGCCTGAACCAGTATAAACCCTATATCATTGAGTGCTAGGCCACATCCGACCACAACGTACGGCAAAACTACAAATATTTACGTGTTGGTCACTTTCCGCACCGATAGTTGGCGTCGTCCGTGGGGAAGACGTTGTACGTTCACACTTTTGGTCATCGGATGGCCCACTTTTCCGCCACCTTCGCCATGGTGGGCTCAAGCGATATGACTCGCTTCGGCTCGCTGGAGTTTCCCACACTCCCACCTATTGGGATGTGGGTTCCACCCGTCTTTGAGCCATCCCAGGCCTTCCTCTTCGGAAGCCTGGACTTCGTCGCTGACCGGCTCGGCGTACTACACCTCCGCGAGGAGGCACTTGTTCCGGCACCCATCGGAGGGGTGCCCTCCATCGGCTCCGGGACACACGATGACTTCAACGACAAGGCGCCTGTGCTTCATTCCGAGCAAACGCTCTGCTCAAACCCCGCTGTGAGTAACGTACATACTGTTATTTACTTGCTATTTACTATCTTCCGTTGATTATCTAGAGGGACCGGGTTGTCCGCACCGCAACCACCGTACGACCGGTTCCTCTATGGCCTCGCGTCCCCCACGGACGCGTATGCCTGGGGGCTCCGGACAATGCTGATGCCGCCTCCTCTCATATCTAAATTCATGGGGATGGCAAGCTATGCTCCCACCTGTTTCTATGAACTCATAGATGACGAGGTTGAGAGTGACGGCTCCAACATCGACGACGTGGCACCTAGCCACCGTTCGTCCCGGGAGTGTGCCATGGCGGACGCTCTAGGACAGCCGCCGGTGGTAGCGGAGTCCTTGCAGACGCACACCCCTCCGGACCCTCGTGCGGGGACCCTCGTGCTCGCACAAAAGCACGGCAAGGAGCTACGACAGCGGCGGCAGAACCAGCCGCCACCTGCGCCGGCACGCTCGGCGCACCACGCTGCGCCCCGTGCGCGTAACCCGTCGAGCTTCACCCGGGGTCGTGCTCGCCAGGTCCAGCGCAAAATCATGGACGGGGGGAACGATCCCCCATAGTTCACTCGGGCTGGCCAGAACATCGCCGCCGCGGCAATGCTTCTGCGCGGCCTTTCCGAGCCGAACGACCCTCGAGAACAGGCGATCCACCAGAACCTCCGGGCACTGGTGGAAACCGCCGCCGTTCAATAGGCGGAGAGCTCCGCATCGCGACACCGACTCGCGGCCTCTCTCCCCACCAGAGGAGTAGGGACGCACCAGACGAATCGCTCCGTCCGCTCACCGCTACGGCCGCCGAGCGCGGCGCAGGAGGCCGCAATCGTGCCATGGTGTGACCTAGCGCCCGCTCCACACCGGCCCCCTGGGCGCGAGCGGCTCGGGCCGAACCAAGACACTCGCAGCGTCACCAGCAACCGGCGTCGGGCCCGGCATGATGATGATGTCCATCGAGCAACAGTGAGGGTAGGTGATACAGACCCCGATCGGACCATCACGGGGAGTGGTGAAACGCACCCCAGGGGCGGTCGCCTGCCGACGACTGGAGTCCTAGCCTGGATGGCCCGGGACCACGGGCCTTTGGTCGACGCATCTAGAGAGCGCCATTCTCACAGTGCTTCCGACCGCCTACCAACATTGCTAAGTATACCGGGAGACGAACCCCGGTATATGGCTTGAAGACTTCCGGCTCGCCTGCCGAGCCGGTGGAGTGGATGATGACCACTTCATCATTCAGTACCTCCCCATCTACCTGGAGGAACATGTTCGAGCTTGGCTCGAATTCCTCCCGCGTGACAGCATCCGCGACTGGGCGGACCTCAAGAGGGTCTTCATCGGGAAATTCCAGGGGACGTATGTCCGCCCTGGGAACTCCTAGGACCTCAAGAGCTACCAACAGGAGCCCAGCAAGTCCCTGCGGGATTACATCCATAGGTTCTTCAAGCGGTGCAACTCC